GGGCACCAAAGGATGTTTCAAGATTACTTGGCTGGTGAGCTGACATACGGCCCAAATTTATTTCATCGGAGGTTCATGTGCATTCACTTTGTGATATGAACATAGTATAGTAGGTAACTATTGTATGATTTATTTTTATTTTTTTGCAGGTACAGGATGACTCGGAATCTTTTTCTATGCACTATGAATGCTGTAGAATCACACGATGACTACTTCATGTAAAAAAGGAGTGCAACCAATGTTCTTTGATTAAGTTGCTTTTAGAAAGTCACTGCAGCATTTCGTATGCTAACATATGGAGTTCCAGTTGATGCTATGGATGAGTATGTTCACATTGGAGAAAGTACCGCAATTGAGAGCCTACATAGGTTCGTTGCTGCAGTAATTGATCTATTTGAAGATGAGTACCTGAGATCACCTAATGTGGCTGACACAACACGCTTACTCGCACTAGGTGAGAAAAATGGTTTTCCTAGTATGTTAGGGTCTATCGATTGTATGTATTGGGCATGGAAGAATTGTCCTGTACAATTGTAGGGTTAGTACAAGGGGCATATGGAGGAGACTACCATAATTTTAGAGGCTGTTGCTTCCAACGATCTTTGGATATGGCATGCCTTTTTTGGAATGCCTGGGTCTCATAATGATATCAACATGCTTCATAGGTCTCCTTTATTCGCAAAGCTGGCAGAGGGCAGAGCTCATGAGGTGAAATATACCATTAATGGTCATGATTATACGATGGGTTATTATCTAGCCGATGGTATATACCCCTCATAGGCTACTTTAGTCAAGTCCATCTCTCAGCCTATGGGGAATAAGAGGAAATATTTTGCCAAAGCGCAGGAAGCATCGAGGAAGGGTCAAAAGAGCTTTTGGTGTTCTGCAATCTAGGTTCACCATTGTTCGAGGAGCAGCACGCATATGGGACACAGAGACACTTGGAGACATCATGAAAGCTTGTGTCATCATGCACAATATGATTGTCGAGGATGAAGGAGTTGTTGACCCTACTGAGCGATTCGATTATGGTGGCCCAAATGTGGAACCTTCTCATGAGAATAATCGAACCCTTGATGAATTTATTGAAGCGCACAAAAGGATCAGAAAAAAAAAACACATGTCCAGATAAAAGAAGACCTCATCGAGCACCTATGAAATCATCATCCTGATTTATATTAGCAATAGAGACATTTTTTTTGTTGTGATCAGTTTATTTTTGTCCTCTATTTGTGATCAAAACTTTCTACTTCAAGTGTAATGAACATTTTTTCCTCTATGTGTGATGATCAATAATGTTTTTAACTTGAAGTGCAATGACCATGTTTTCCTATTTGTGTGATCTATACTGTTTTTACTTGAAGTGTAATTTTAGCCGGCCATCTAGTAGTAGCATGTTATTAATTGTCAATGTGTATATCTTCACAAATGAATCAAATAGAAAAACAAAACAAATGAACCAAATAGGAAAACAAACCTTGTCTTGAATGGTTGTACCACTTTGATTCCTACGCTCAATCGCTTCGTAGCGTGCACAAAACTTGTTCACTTGCACCAAAATAGTCATCCACCTATGTATAATGGAACTCTCTGTTCTGAAAGCTTCAGTTTTCTTGTGTTTCTGATAGAAAGCATGAATTCTACTCCAAAAGAAGCCACGAGATTGATTAGCCCCGTGCATGGGATCTTTGCTCACGTTCAACCAAGCTGCTACAACAACTTCATCCTCCTTTGGATCAAAATTTTTTGTTCTCTTCGAATAAGGCCTTGTACTACGAGGGTGTACTAGCACATCAACTGCCAACTTCAGTAGACATCTTATCAATCTCCTGGATGTCCTGTGTCATGGGAAACTGTAGTCTTCCAAACCAGCAACATCATCCTCTCCCATGATCATGTTTGTCCAAAATCCACCCCTGGACATTGCAACGATCCTACAAGTATTCACGAATAAATCAATGCCAATAATCCATGTACAAGAGAATAGTTTTCACAGCATCAGAGATCAGCATATATGGAAAAAAAAATTAACATCTACACTGTGCCCACAGCCAACCTTGCATTTCGTATGGCTGTGTTTCTTGCAAATTCCATCCAATTCATCCAAATCACTAAAAGACAGTCTAATATATCTAGTTAATCTCACGAATGAGTTGTCGTCTCTAGCTGCTGGTGCGTGCGTTTGGTGATGTATATGGCACATATATTCAGAGATCACATCCACGAAGCAGCAGGCAGCCACGGCCAGGTGGAGGCAACCACGAAGCCCACCCACGGCTGCTGCTAGGCCACACGCCCCAGCGGCCGGTCCTTCCTCTGCAGGAAGCGGCCAAATCCGGCTATGGCTGCCGCTGCCGTGGCCAACGATGGCCATGGCCTGCAGGCGGCGGCAACGAAAATCACAAAACCCTAGCGACCGGGAAAGCATCATAGAGGAGCAGTGCACGAGTAGATGCATGGCATACCTCAACCCTAGGTCCGCGGCGTCGAAGATCCTTTGCCTTGGACGAAGCCTGTGCTATGGCGCGAAGGAGAGGGCGTGGAAAATAGTCGCGGGAAGGAGATGGCACGGGGAAATGCGAGGACGCGCGACTAGGGTCGGCGCATTTTTACACACGATGGAGTCCGATTTGCCAAGTGCCAAAAGATGGGGAAGGGATATTGGGTACTCTTGGAGATGAGTTTTTCTCTTTTTTCCCAAAAACATGGATGGGGAAGAGATATGGGGCACTCTTGAAGATGCTCTAAGTCATTTAGTTCTTCATGGGAGGAATTTTCTTCCCTGGGTTTGCAACCTCTTGCTTCCAAATTAGGCCTTAGAGCTTGGAAAAATCGTTGTTGCATCTTTGCCTAGTAGTGTTAGATGTCTGCAATTTCAAAATTATTGGTGCTCCCGTGTATATCTTAGATTGGTGGAAATAAAAGTAATACAAAACTAAATGAAAAATAAATCCTTTTATGAAATAAAGCACATTTGTATTTTTGTTACAATACTAACCAGAATTCTAATACTAAAGAGGCAAAATTTATGACAATAAAAAAAATTTCGTCCAACATAATCATCTGTGTTCTGTCCGCATTACCAGGGCTCTATCCGTGCCGCCAAGATAGGTAATATGCTGTCATTCATTCACTACACCGCCGCAGCAGCCTGCAGTCGCGTGGCTGCCGGCTCTGCCTCTGCCGTCTCCGTCGATGTCGATGCCGCCGCCTGCCGCCCCGCCCCGTAACTCCGTAAGTATGGCCATCCGTTTTGCTTTCTTTGTTTGTGGCCACTAGCCATGTTAGGCCTGCTCACGCACCAATCTTGGCGGTGTACATTGATTTGGTCTTGCATTGATTCTTGGGTTTAGGGGAAGTTTGTTGATTCGATTGCGTTCCTTGATGCTGTGCGTTGTGTACGAGGTGCTGGTGCCGAGTTTGAAACTGAAGGAGAGGAACAATTACAATGCATAATTGCATAATGCCCTTCACGCATGTAGGCATGTCTGTAGCCATGTAGGTAGATCAAACAAAGAGTATACTGGAAGAGCCATCCCCACCTCTCGCGCGCGGCAGATTGAATTGAGTATGCAGCGGCCGACTGGCGGCTGCAGTGCACGCTGGCGTATCAGAGAATGCATGGCGCATGGTGCTGCTAGCTAAGCTAGCTATCAGTCAGCTACGTGGAGGAGTCGCAGGACGCCTTCGATTGAACACTGCTAACTACAAGGTGTTAATTAGGCTCATTTAACATATAGAGTACTCTGTATGATGTATGCATCCTTGCAAACTTACAATAAGAGGGTTAATCTTCTTTTCTATTGCTTCCTTTTTTTTCAAAGATAGTTGGGTGTACTTTTTTTAGATGCATTCTATTTATCATCATATCATACGCTAAGTAATTTGTTCTTCACATTTGCAGACTGGTTAGCTCTTTTTTTTTTTGAGAAATGCAGACTGGTTAGCTCTTGTATAGTTGGATCTTGGTCCAATTAATGAATTATATTAAGGTTCTTCAGCGGACTGCTATTCTAATCGATCTAAGGTTTTCCCTCGTCAGGTGACGGCTGGACCTTGGTGGGCCTGCGGGAGTGTGCGGGCTATGGTCTACATGGGAGTGGAGAGGGGCGAGCGGGGTGGGTGCATGCTGTGGGTTTTTCGGTTGGAGATGCAGCTGGGCTGCGCGTGAAGGAGGAGCCATCTGGGCCACGCGGGTGGTTAGGGAGAGAGAAAAAGCTGGGACTTAAGAAGGAAGGAGTGGACCGGGCTAGGTGGTGGATCGGGGCAGGCTAAAACCGTAGCGTTAGCATAGGTAATTTTATGGATTCTCAAAAGAAGTCACTGAACTTTGATATCTAACACTACCAACATATGGATAGTATGAAAACTAAAGTTACGATACATTTGCGAGAAAATATTTTAGTGCCCTACAACGAAAGAAAAAATCCTATCAAGGTTCTAATTTAATTCAATACAGAATTAATATAACATTGTCATATTATTGCCAATATTAACTTAGATTAAGGTTACAATGATCATTATACAATGGAATATATATTTTAAATTTCATAAAAAGATATTAAATAAATAAATATTTAACATCATCATCTTTGTTTTCATTAATAGACCCGTAATTGTTGCAACAACCACTCGCAGCATCAAGTCACCTATACAAAATAAGCTGCATCAGCTGTGCAGCAAGCTAAAGAGAACAAGTTGAACATTTGATAGCTTTTTTTTTCTCCCGTTGCAACACACGGGCATATTTGCTAGTTGATATATAATAATCCAAATTTGAACATAGTGAATCAAACCAACGAGAAACTCAATGCAAAGTCCCAAAGCGAATAGGAAGAAGCTATGTGGAATATATCAGCACCACTGTGGCCGCTCATCTAGTTGACACTCCGCCCTCCTCCATGAAAGCAAAGGTCATGCACAGTGTCAAGGCTCAAATATTGTTTTATAGTCTCCTCCATTTTTCTGTAAACCAGCTGGAGCCAAATCTTTCGCAGAGATCATGGGGAATGTGGGCAGCCACCGTTCGAGCTGTGGGTGCCGCACGAGGGCCCCGCCCGGAGCTGCTTCAGGTACATTTGCCGGGGTAATTGCAAAACACCATCTCCGGGGACGGTTTCCATGCCCGGCGACGACGACAACGCATCGCCATCGACCCGCAACGACCGCGCCGCTCCTCCTGGGACGGCCAAGCAGAGCGCTATGACCAGAATGAGTATCACCGGCACAGCAGCAATCCCTCTCGCCATGCCGTATGTATGTAGTAGTGCAAATAAATGATCACCAACAACCTGTCAATCTCGATCAACACAATTCAAGCAGCACTTCTAGCTTTTGTTCGATCGATCTGATCTGCTTCTTGTGTGTGTGCTGTTGTTGTACACAATGGGATGATGAGAGTTGCATGGACCGTCCATGCGTATATAAAGGGCAGGGGACCTACGGCAAGTTTTATAATAGAGCACTAACTTCACATGCTTGCTAACCGATCGACTCGTTAATTTATTCAAAACCATTCGCTTTTCTTGTGAATTGACTAATTGAGGACTCCATCCACCAATTTTATCTGCATTTTGGTTTGAAAAGGTCAAAATTTCCAAATTGTGACCACATTAGTCAAAGTATGTCCATTTTGCAAAAGTTATTTAAATATGTTAATATATGAATTAGTTTTATGATGATGTTAATTGTGCAGTGTTTGACAATACATTATAAGAGGAATTAAAGGTAGAATTCTACCTAATCTCGAAGATTTGTTACTTCCAAAATACAACGTACGTCATATGGTTTATTTCCATCTCATTCAGTCAATTGGGAATTAACATGTGGAGATATCCAGACTGTTTCAAATTCGGGTAGAGTGACTACTGAGGCGAAGTTAACAGGTAACATTTTTTTTTTTTGGTTAAGAAAATTGCCTCATTCGGATCACGACCGTGCCCTAGCTAGGCAGAAAGACAGGAAATATGGAATAATACCATTCGATCAATGAAACAAAAGAAAAGAGAGAAGGATGGAACAAATCTCTCAAAATTAAACCAGAGTAAAGGCTTGTTTGGATGTTGCAGTTTACAAAATTTAAAATATAAAAAACGCTAATGCTCAGGGTCAAGCGTCCGTCTGATCGCACACCGCTTCCCGGGCCTGCGCGCGCTACCGGCCCAACAAGCCTGCCTCCACCTCTATACGTCTCCCCCATCTCTCTCAAAAATATCTTTCTACTCGCTCGCTCAACGCATGCATGACAGCGCCGTGCAGCCGTCAGCCCGCCCCACTCCACATTCGCCGCAGCGGCCATCTCCCCCCGCGCGCCCTTATCCCACGCTGCTCGCTCCTCGCTCCTGCCTGTCGTGCGCTCCACCCATGCCTCTCGCTCCTTGCTCCCGTAGTCCCACCTGACACGTGCCCACCTGCGTCGTCGGGCAAGCCACCCGCCTCTGTTCGCGCTGGTGGTGTTGTCGCACGCCTCAGGTCAGTCCCCACCGAGTCAAGGGCACACACGAGCGCGGCTTGTGATGCTCGCGCACTGTTGCTCAGCGCCGGCTCCCACTCTGAGGCCAGAATCAACCGACCCTGGCTCTCTCCCTCCCCCGATGTTATAAATGTATGTTTTAAGTATTTTAGATGTTATAAGAGGTATATGTTGCAAGTGTTTAATATGATGTTGCAAAAGTAGATCAGGGTGTTGCATGCTTCAGAGACATGTTGCAAGTGTTTCAGAGGCATGTTGTAAGCGTTAGATCAAAATGTTTCGTATGTTTCAAATGTATGTTGCAAACATTTTTATCTGGATGTTGCACATGTTTCACACCTATGTTGCAAGAGTATGTTTGAAATGTTTCAGCTGTTTCAGTCTTATGTTGCAATAAGTGTTTTCATGTTGCAAGTTGCAAGTGTTTTATCTTGATGTTGCATATGTTTCACATGTTGCAAGTGTATGTTCTAAATGTTTCATCTGTTTCACATGTTTCAAACCAAAATGCAGATAAAATTCATGTTGCAAGTGTTTCATGTTTCAGAGGTATGTTCACAGAGTCATGGCCCGGGCTCCGGGGGAAGGGGCGTGGCGAGCTAGGGCTGGTGGATGGGGCGCGCGGCGCGCCTGGGTCCTGCGGATGGGACGTGCTCATCCTCATCCCGGCTCCCAGGTCCTGCCTACGCGCAGAGAGAGGGGGGTCAGGGGGAAGGAGCGGCAGGCACGGGTCGGGGTACCCGTGCGGGGCGGGACGAGGCGGACGGGGGACGGACGCACACGTGCAGCAGTGAACGGCGCAGCGGCAGGCTCCAAAGAAAAAGCTAAAGATGTGTAAAACTATGGTTTACAAGAAAAAAATAATTGTTGAGTAGAGTTTTAAGGCTCCAAAAAAGTATGGTTTCGATGATATCATAATTTTAAAAATGGGAAGGTTTATTGCATTGAGCCACATAGGAAGTTTCGATTATCAAAGTGTTTTATAAAACCATATAGTATTTGTTCAATATCTCAAAAATATTTTTGCATGAAAACACAGTCTAATTTGTGTGGTTCTCTCACATCAACGATTTGGTCATAGGTATAGTGGACGTCCAAATCAAAGAGCATATTTATATAAAAAAAACTATAGCATCATATAATTGCTGGTTAAAAGCCTAATCATATGTACCGGGGGACAAGAATTATAGATATAGTACATATGTTCAACCCGGACGTACGCACGGACACAGCTTTTTAATTTTGGGGTCAAACACCATGACATATGAATCGACTGCATAAGCATGGTTCAATGCATTCGCTCAGGTGTTTTGGAAATCTGGACTTGTTGGTCTCCGTTTCGTAAACTGACAAGTTCAAATTGGCGATCAATAACTTCAACATATATATATATATATACATATGCAACATGCATGCGCGCATATGTGACGTTATGCGTTCAGCCTTTCTTTTGGAGTTTGGACTGCACGACGTTATGCGTTAGCTAGGCTGACCATGACCACTAGCCTTCTCCCTCCAAATTCTCCCTTTTCCCTTTTTGTTTTCTTTTGGACAACTACCTTTTTCTAGAGGAAGGAGAGCGTGGATTAGGTAGTTGCCGACGGATTGCATGATGTGTGCTGTGGCTGCACGCTGAACCAAATTTATTTATACTATTTATACTTAATATTAAATTAAAAGAATAAAATTTCTCCTTCTAAATTTTTGTCGTTCGCCCTCTCCCCAAAATCCATAGGTACCTCCACTCCAATGAGCATAAGAGTTTTCGCCGGTCTTAGTAGTAGTAGTAGTAGGTGATGAAATAGAGATAAAAGTATTTTTCGAGATCTACAACTTTTATTTTTGTCGTTTCTCCATCCGAGATTGTTTGAAAAATTCAAATTTTATAAGGCAGCTCCTATTTTTAGAGAAGGTCGATTTCTAGAGAAACTAGAAATAGAATCACTTCTACAAATGTATTTCTAGAGGCAGCTCGGTTTAGAGCCACCATAGAGGCGGTTGTAAATTGACCCGCCTCTAAAAAAAAGCTCATATTGATGAAAATCAATTTTATAGTAGTATATATATATATATATATATATATATATATATGGGTGTTTTGTTGAAAATGAATAAAGAGCTGAGGGAGCACAAAAAGATAAGTAATTTTGATTAGTTGTAGGTACAAAACACATGAACTTCTAAGTCTATTCTTGATAGGGAGTATCATACGCATTTATGAGATGCCATGTAGGATACTCTCCCTCTGTCCCCCAACGTGTGTTATTTTAGGAGGAGGAGTAGATGTCTTGATTCACACAATGTTTAATGCATCTGTACAACCCTGTGTCCAGGTTCAGTTAATTTTTGCTGCACTTGGCATAGAGCCAAAACGACGTATTGCTTATGTGCTAAACAATTATATTGAAGAGAGAGAATAAAGTTTGTATCGACATGTTGATTCAGTTTTGACACCAATATAGATACTTGACATTAAATTCAGCAGTTTATTTATTAGACTATTGTTGTAGACACAGTGATGGATTCAGTTTAGACTATTGTTATAGACACAATCTCTATTTTGTATTAGAGATACAGGGATGAAAATTCTATGTACCGTAGAGGGTTATTTCTTCCAAAGAATTTAATTAATATCCTCCATATGATGTGGTGGCCTTAAATATCAGAGTATGCAATCACAGAGTGGAACAGCCTTTTTTTAGGAAACTGGAGGGGTCGCAGCCCCTACAAAAAGTTTTTATTGAAAAGAAAAAGAGGGTTATTTACAATGCAAAGTTAATCTACTGCAAGAAACTAGGGGGAGAAAGAACAACTTCAAGATACAAAGAAGGAAACAAATAAAATAAGGCAAAAGCCGAGGCTCAAATCATTTCTAGCGATTGGATCCATTGTTCAAACAGAGTTGAAAGGCTTGTCTTCACTTGTAGGGAGACCATTCTTGCTTCTTTAAGAAAGATTCTTCTACAATCCTGTATGCTCACTTGATTTCCATTGAAGATGAGTTCATTTCTGGCCAGCTAAAATTGTCCAACACATGAGGATGATTGCCACCATGAAGAATTAGGAGTTGATCTGATCTTTGAAAGCAGTTAAGTTTTCAAGAGTCCCACTATCCAAGGAAGTTGTTAAATTGATCAGGCCCAACATTGCTAGTTGAAGGGGCAATGTAGAAACAGATGCTCAGTGCTTTCTTCAACTCCAAGAGCACAGAGCTCACAATTGTATGAATCAAGATTCATGTGTTTCCTTCTAAGAATATTCCTCGTATCAGTCTATCTTTAAGTAGCAACCAACAGAAGAGACCTTGTGCTTAGGTTGACAAAAGCATTTCCAGTCCCAATTGAAAGCTGGATTGGTTGGATGATGTCCAATCAGTTTTTTATAGATTCTTGAGGAGAGAAATTTGCTCAAACCCCCATTATAGGACCAGATGTCATCATTATTTTCTAGAGTTGTGGCTTCCATTAGCTGTTGCAGACTTTGCAATTGTGTGAATGCAATTTGAGAGAGAGGCAGGTTGAACATTTCTATGACTGTATCTTGGCTACAGGAGAAATTATATAGCCCGGGACATGTAGTCCCGGTTCGTGGTATAAACCCAGACTACAGGTACAATTCTAGTTTCAGTTAGAGCTACCAACCAGGATTAAAGGTTTAGTCACGGCTGGTAGCTTAAACCGGGACTGGAGGGTGACCTTTAATCCCGGTTTGAGCCACCAACCGGGACTAAAGGTCCCCTCCTGCCCCCCTCCTACAAAAGCTACGCCTACGCCTCTA